AAGTAGAAGCACTAAAGCCTGCAGTGTTTTGTTTCCTAAGCAAGGCAGAGCTTCTCAAAACACGCAGGCCTAGGAGCCCTGACATAGTAGGTTGAGTGTGCAGCACACACTTGCATGTTTTTGTTTGTTAACGTTAAGGTTGATTATTCAACTATTCTTTTTAAAATTATTTTTATTTTTGCGGTATTGTCTTTGAACTCAGGGCCTCACACTTGCTAGGCAGGCGCTCTACCACATTGAGCCACTTAGCCAGACCCTTCAACCATTCTTTTATTCAGCCAATAGTTAGTGAGCACCTACTATGTACCCACCACCATTCTTGACACTGGTGACAAAGCACTGAACAAAACAGACCAAATCTCAGCTTTTTTGTGGAGCGTATATGCAGCGGGGAAAGACAATTAAGAAACAAAATAAATGAGAAAATTAAATAAAATTAAATAAAATATTTAGAAAGTTATAGTGTTATAGAATAAAAAAAAACTATGGAGTACTGGTGTGAGGCTTTGAGTGGTTAGCAGTTTTAATAGGGTGCTGTCTCACTGAGAAGCTGACATCTGATAAAAGATCAAAGACAGAAAGAGGATCCTGTAGCTGTTCAGAGAGGAGTATATTAGGTGGAAAGCTGGACCAGCTCTTCTAGCTCTTTGAGGAGGGAAGGTGCCTACTATTATTTGAGACTGAGCAAGGGGCCAGTGTGATTGGAGTTTGAGATTGAGCAGGGGGCCAGTGTGATCAGAGCAGACTCTGTGTTGTGGGGAGAGGTAGCAGGGAAGAGTCCAGGGATAATGTGTGTGTGGGGACCTCCAGATCACGCAGGGCTATGAGCCTTAAGGGCTGATAAACCAACATCACACTTTGCTATGAGTTTAGATGGGGGAGACAATAGGGGCTTCCAGAACAGGGTCCCAATTATTTTATCAGGGTTACTCAGGTTCTGTGTTCAGAACTGACTGTATGAGAATAAGGGTGAAAGCAGTAAAGAGGGGAGCTACTCAAGTAACTTGAGGGGAAAGGTGATGGTATTTTAGACAAGAGCAGTAGAAATGCCAGTGGCAGTGGTGGTATATGGAGTAATAGGCTGAAATAGATAGAAATAATAGAATTTGAAGACAGATGAGAGAGAATGAGTCAAGAACTACCCACAGGTTTCGCCCAAACAACTACAAATACAAACTATAGTAGGGTCCATTGGGGGGGTGGGAGGGGCTGTTTTTTTTGGGGGAAGATCAGGAGTTGTTTCAGATATCACAAGTGTGAGGTGACAATATTCAAGTGGAGGTTTCTACCAAGAAGTTAGATTTATAAATTGAAGTTCAGGAAAGCAGTCCAAAAAATTAAGTGAACAAAACATCATTTTTGTACAATTACCATTCCAACAAATGTAGTTTCTTTGGAACTTTTAAAACAAGCTTTCACATGGTAAGAAGCATCCAGGCAAGCAAGCCCAGAGCAACATAACATACAATATTTAGCGGCATTTACATAGTCATCAATTTCACAGATATTTAGGGAGTACTTCATATATACTATGCAAAGAGAATACAGGGACACAAAATACTTCCCAGACCACTCTGGTCTGGTTGTAGTGCTCATAAACAAGCCGTGACAACACAGTGCCATGACTGATGCCATCACTGCCGAGGTGTCCTTAGGTGGTTGAGGAAGCTGTAGGAGCAGATAAGGGCCCTTTCCTTTGGTGACTTTAGATTATTGGGCAGATCAAACATAAGAGATCAAACAGTTCTAAATGTTGTAAATAACCACCAAGGTAATGAAAGCAATATAAGAAGGCAGCATGTGAACTCTTGCTCAATGTTAATATTTGCCTTAGGAGGAGTTCAAAAGAGGAAGGCTAGGGTAGCAGGAAAGGCATTGCTTGGGTGGAATTCCAACTAAGACTTGAAAAAAAAAGGAGGCAGAATGTCTTAAAGAGATGTGATGGGATGTTCCTTTTATTTTTAAGACTGATTTGATATCAGCCTGTGAAAGGTTTTTAATAGGAGATATGATAGGATTATTAGAATTTTGAAAACATTACTTTGGCTATAATATGGAGAACAGATGGCTGGAAGGACTCTGGTAGACATGATAGGGACTATTGAAAAATATTTGCCATGGAGTTTGTTGTGAAGATGGGACATTGAAGTTGAGCTGTCTAACAAAGATATATTTATCTGATGGGAGATTTGGGGGTGGTTCGAGTGGTAAAAGTTACAGCACTAAGTCAGACACTGGTGGCTCATGCATGTAACCGTAGCTACCTGAGAGGCTGAGATCAGGAGGATCATTGGTTGATGCCAGCCCTGGGAAATAGTTCTCAAGACCCCATCTCCAAAATAACCAGAGCAAATGGACTAGAGATGTAGCTCTTGCTTTGCAAGAGTGAAACCCTGAGTTGAAACCCTAGTCCCATTAAAAAAAAAGTTACAGAGTTATAGCACTAAAAGTAGATAAAAACTCTCAGGGAGAAAATGTGAAGAGAAAAAAGCAGAAGGCCAAGACTTGCCACCATTTAAGCACCAGCACTGGCCAAACAAACAAACAAACAGAAACAGGGCCAGAGATATGAGAGAAAAATAAGATAATCATGGGCATCAGAGGAAAGAGGTATAAATGTGCAAGTTCTTATGCACTTTTACTAAGTTGTCTTACATGGTATACATATCACAGTAGACAGCCAAAGCATGATTAAATGCTAATCTAGAATCTGCCAGCCCGGCTCCTCTTGAGCAAAATGGAAGTGATAAGAACTAGATTATCCCCCCAAGAGCTTAGACCAGAAAGGACTTAAAATTCACTCAGTTTTCAACCATTTCATTTTATAAATGAGGGCCTCTAAGGTCACACAGTTATTTGGTAACATAACTGTGACCAGATTTTTTTTTTTTTTTTGAGATAGGCTCTCACTATGTTGCCCAGGTTGGCCTCAAACTCCTGGGCTCCAGTGAGCCTCCCTTCCTCAGTCTCCCAAGTGTCTGGAACTATAGACATGTACCATTGCTTTCAACTCAGAAAAGCATTTCTTTTTTTTTTTTTAGTTTTAATTTAGACTTTTCACTCACTGTCAATCAATAAATCTAAATGATACTCATTTATTCTAAAAGTACAGATTTAATTAAAATAAAGTGAGTTTTAAATAATGAAGTATTTTGGCTTAAGTTATCAATAGTCTGTGGTAAGAAATGTGTTGTGTACCTACAATACAGTGTATGTGGAAAAATGTACGGTTTTAATTCTGCACTCCTGAGGCCACTTGGTTCACTCGAGCTTTTTCTATTTTTCAAGGCAAAGTACAAGTTCAACTTCTAGCTATACTTTCTTAGATATCACCCCAGGAAAAACTGATCACTCTGTTCTGAGCTCTCCTTAGAGTCAATGTTTTTCAAGTAACATGCTGAAATTTATCAGCTGTTCATTAAATCAGTTTGGTAGGTCATTCCCAGAAAGAGAAAAAGAACAGAAAATATCAGGGTACATCACATATATTGATGTCAAGAAGTGTGTGTGAGTGTATGTGAGTGTGTGTGTGCACATGCCCTCTGGACTGCAATGTAAAATGTAAAAAGTTTGGAGGATTCTGCAGGAAACACGTTTTAACACTTATCAGCTGTGTGTCCCTGCTCCCAGCTGTTTGTGTTCATCTCTGTATCCTCCACACAGTATGCTACCTGGTGAGTACTTAGGAAATATTGATGGGATCATTATGAATGTTGGAGAAAGAACTTAAAAAATGAAAAGCAGGTAGATTGGGAAGAAGTGAGTGCTTCAAGTAAGTATGAATTTTAAAGCTTCCTTGACCTTGGAAGTTAATATTAATTTTTTTCCCAACCAAGAACCTGTGTTTGGTATCTGTGCTGGGGGGCTGTCTCCCAGTCACCTTCAGTGTTCCATGTGATGTGGTATAAATAATACTTCCTGCTAATGCTGCAGCTGTCACTTGAGGATCTTAAATTGCTTTATGAGCAAGATCTGGTGATGAGTGCCCGGCTCCATTTGGACAGGTGCCAGAGTTAAGAACCAGTGAGTGGTTGATATCTCTGGGCCCCCAGAAGGACGGCTCCCTCCCTTTGGTCCAACCACTCTTCTCCCCATCCCTTCTTCCCCGGAGGGAGAAGCCGGTTGTGTCACCTCCACTGATAAACAGATTGCAAAGATTCCCCTCACTCTTTCTTTGGGGTGGCTATGGTGTGTATGGGATGAGGCCATTAATGTGAATCCCTAGGGGTTTAAAAACCACAAGGAGGAAAACTGGAAGGAACAGACCAGAGATGAGCTCTGAGTCACCAAAGGGAATTCCAGATTCCTCTGGTTAGTAGCTCTTTAAGATTTGCACCTAACAAATTTGAGAGGGGATATTTGAGAGGGGGTCGCCCTTTTGTAGGCCATTTTGGGTTCAATTTGCTCTACTCCATAGCAACCTTATTTTTTGCTTCTGTCATACTCCTTTGGGTTTTATTGTCCACATCAACCTCCGGGGGCTTAAATACCCCAGCCACCCACTACCCCTACTCTTTTATTTACTCTTTGCGACCCCACTGAATCACTCCCGTCCCATTTCCTGGATTCTCTGGGGGTCAGCCCCTGTCTTTTCCCAGAAGCTGTTAACTGCCTACACTTGGGCCTGGGAGGCTCCAGGAGGGTGACAGGCCAGTCCTGGCCGGGAGTCGGGTTACACCACTTGTGTCTGAATTCACACAGCATGTTCCTCAGTCAGGGATTCCGCAAATATCTCCCCGAGGTAAAAAAGGAAAGTGCGCTGCGCTCCAGCACCCAGAGCAGCGAGCCCAGCCCCTGGTCCCGGAGAGCGGAGCGCCAGTCAGCACGGGGCCATGTCGCCATAGCCCCGGCCTCCGTGTGTCCCCAACCTCAGCCCGTCCCAGCCCGCCCGCTTCATGCCGCGGTGCAGCTGCACTGCGATCTTGGGGTGAGGGGCGATCGGGCATGCTCCTCCCCATGGGTTGCCCACCATGTCTAATGGATATCGCACTCTGTCCCAGCACCTCAATGACCTGAAGAAGGAGAACTTCAGCCTCAAGCTGCGCATCTACTTCCTGGAGGAGCGCATGCAGCAGAAGTATGAGGCCAGCAGGGAGGACGTCTACAAGAGGGTGAGTGCGGGGCCACTCCGGATCAGGCCCTTCCTACCTGGTAATTGCTGATCAGCAAAAGAGGTAGGGTCTGTACAGATCTGGTCATCCTGATGTCATATGACCTTGGACAAGCCCCATTTCACCTCTATCTTGACTGTTTTCTGTCCTCTGCACAGGGAGGGAGCTGTCCTGTTGTGGAACTGTGCAGAACAATCACAAACCTTAGAGCTGGGTTAACATGCAGATTCCCAGGGATTCAGTATTGGGAGAGGTTGAGGGTGAGAGTGTAAATGTGCATTTTAAACATGCAAGATGAGGTGACTCAGGCAGATGGCTTATAGGCCACACATTCATCTAACAGCCTTTTCCAGCTCTGGATCAATGGAGCAGAGGATAGGGCTGTGGAGAAAAGGAAGGGGTGAGGACAGCTCTTTCCTGGAGAAATTCATGTTTGTTTTGTCTTAGAATGAAGAAGAGACTAGCCAGGAGGTACAGGTTGCTCCAGGTAAGGTGGGAGAGGGAATGCCTCCTTCCTGGCAGGGAGGGTTGTCTTGATTGATGGGTCAGAGTGGCTTGGCTGAGCTGAGTCTGAGATGAGACAGCACTTTGGTAGGAGGACTTGAAGTCCTTCATGGTTTCCAGGTTAAGCGTCCTAACAGGTCATCACAACAGTGATTTCCTCAGACCTGTTGGTGTCTGGGCAAAAGGGTCCAAAGTGGTGAGAGAACCTGGGGCTGCATGCCTCTGACTTTCTCAGAGCTTCTAAATTCCCAGCTGTTTATGCTGAGAGGTTCACAAGCACTCTCCTGTCCAGAAGGACCTGGGAAGCATCAGAGGCTGCTAGATGGCATCTTGGACTGAGGGATATCTGATGTCCATGAGACCTAACTGATTATTTGGCAATTTTAGTTAATATGGACAGCTCAGTCTATCTTTCTGAATGCCCGTGTTTTAATCTGAACTTTCCTGAGATTGGCCCAGGCTCACCTTTTATCTGTTAGGTGGCTATATAGGGAGTGTACTATATAGGGAACTGCCAGAGGTCCATGAGGGTTGGTGACTCAGAGAGGTGGAGGTGGGTGAGGGTGAGTGACAGTACTGGCCTAAGGGCAGGAATAGTGAATGTATTTGTTCACTGTGCAAAGGTAGGAAGTTTCTCCATTAACTGTCTCCAAAGCAAGGCAGAAGGGGTAACTTCTTAGATAATTTGAGGGGGAAGATTTTCTTTTTGCTTTAATCATTTGGTTTCACCCTGTGCTCTGCGCTGGCTAGAGACAGTCTTCAGGAAATGGTTTGGGTGGGATGTGAGAGGGCACCATTTTTCCCCTAGTAAGGTTACAGGAGCTGTACAGAGTGTGTGAGGGGGGGAGTGATGGCACATTGTCACAAGTAGAGGTCTTGCAGGGTCTCCTGCAGGAGATCATTATCTCTACCTAGTCTTAAGAGTGAGCAGAGCAGTCAGGCACTATTGTGTTTCCTCCGTCTCACCCAATCTTTGTTCAATCTGTGTGTCTTACTGTTTTTCTCATTTGGCTATGATTATTTCCAAAGTACTGAAGGCTTAGGTTCAATGCTTATTATTTGGGATGAAGAACACATAAAGCCATTTTCAATTATTATCAATATTGCTGAAATCAGTCTATCACACTACATAGTGATGAGGGGTGATAGAAACCAGGTCAGTTCTGGTTTGATGGAAGAAGCAGGAACAAGGACACCACTGTGACAGGAGCACTGGACAACCAAGGGACACCTATGTCCTCTGAGTCGAGTAGAACCAGCATTTTGCTGCAGGCACTGAAAAATATTTGTGCATGAATAATAGCAGCCATGAAGATGAAATAAAACTTGTTATCTAAGAGGGTAGTGGTTATATTCTTACTAGTAGTTTTTATGCCATTTAAAAATGAAGTAGAGGTTCAACTCTTTATAATCTTACTGTCATATTTCCCACAAATGCATCTTATGCTTTTCATGATTGCTATCCATATCACAATTCCTCAAGGTAGATTAGGAAGCAGCAGCGTTGATGAAGAGAGATTGAATGTAACATGCCTAGCATCATGTGGTAAGTCAGGTAGTTTAGATGAATTTAGACCCCTATACCAAACACAATGTGATTTTTCTTCAGTGTTGGAAGAACATTTATTTAAAAATAAATATTCTAAAAAGATTAAATCCACCCAATTGAGGGCTGAGATGTAGCTCAGTGGTAGAGTGCTTGCCTAACATATGCAAAGCCCTGGGTTCAATCCTCAACACCAAAAAAAGAAAAGACAACAACAAAAAAATCCACCCAACTGAATTACAATCTGCAAAAATTTGAACGTTGCATGCATAATTCTTTAAAAAAAACCCCAATGCTTATGAAGTATATGTAATATATGTCTATTGTAAATAGTTATTGTTTCTCTGTTTCCTTGAGATATTAGTGAAAAATTACTTATTTAGAGATGATCAAACATTCTGCTATGGTAACTTCAGGGAAATTGGCAGAAAAGGACTAGAGAAAAGATTCTGTCTTTCTCTTTCCAGGTGGCAAGTCCTCCTTTAGCTGGTTGATTGAGAGAGTGAAATGGATGCAATCCTTAATTGTAAAGTAAGCTACACAGATTTTTAATTTTAAGAAAAGCTGTAAAAGCTAGAGAGCTATGCAAAAACCTAGAAGTATCAACTTCAAAAAAGGGACTTCAAGGTTTCTCTCTTTTAAACTGTTCAGAGAATTGAGGAAAAAAAAAGTCTTAAGATTGATAAAGTCCATACAAGTCATGGATTGATAAAATAATATTAAATTACACCTAAAAACTGATTGTTTGAGAGTGGCCACTTTTATTATGAGTGTTTAAACTATCTTCCAAGTTTTAATTTCTATAAATATTAATAGCAATTGTTTTAAAGAAAGCACAGATAAACCTGGACATATACCTATGTGATTAGGTACTACTGCCCCCTGTTGGTAGCAAACCATAATTGTAGGTTCAGGTTTTGGGGGAAGGTAATTTCAAAGAGATAAAGCAAGTAAAGAGAAATCATTGCAGGACTTATAGCTCCCAATTCTGGAGCAAAAGAAAGTGAGAAAATGCTGTGAGGTTCCATAGCTGATTGTGGTCCACACCTAGGAAGACTGGCTTGTTAGCATTGCTGGACTGCAGCTGCTGTGGTAAGTAATTTCTGGGTGGCGTCTTGGCTGACTTCCTCATTGTTATTATCTAAGCCTGTGTCTTCTCTTATTAGCTGAGTGTGCCACCACTAGAAACAAGCCCGACCCTGGAATTTATGAAATCCACTGCTGTGTGGTCAACACCCAATATCCAAGCAGCACAGAGAAACACCATCCACTGGCTTTTGCCTTATGATGATTACTTACTTGTTTAAATTGTGTGAATTTATTATGACCCTAGGTTGCTTTTAAAAAATTTAAAATTCCATTCTAAGATTGGAATTTAAAATGTGACAGGGCTAGATCCAATGGTAGGAAGGTCAAGAGTAACAGATGTTGTCATCCTGGAACAGAAAAAGTCAATGTTTATATATGGTATCATTGATGTTGGAAGGTTAAAGTCTACTTGGCCTTTAGATAGGAGTTGAGAGAGTTGTGTTCCATTGTTTTATAAGCTTTAAACTGCCTGACTTATTTGAGATTGAAATTTCCTTGACTTTCTTGTCCCTTGAGATTGGGTGATCTTTTTCTTGTGTAATCTTTGAGGTTTGTATATAGCATACTTTTATAGCTATAGTAAATAGCCTACTGATTTTACTTACCAAATTGTCAGTTTCCACAGTTCTGTTATCATTAGGCACAGTAGTTCAGAGCTATAAGCTTGACAGACCTGGCATGGAATCGTGGATCTACCACTCACTGTAGTTGTTAACTTGGACAAATATAGCCATGAGCTACATAAGGATATTTTCGGTCAGTGAAGGACAACATATATAATGGGGATCTCATAAGACTTCAGTGGAGCTAAAAAGTTCCTATTGCCTAGAACTGTCATCACCATTGTAACATTGTAAGGTAGTGCTTTACCTCATGTTTGTGGTAGTGCAGGCATAAACCTACTGCACTGCCAGTTGCATAAAAGTAGAGCATGTACAATTAAGTCAGGTATGCCAAGCTTGATAGTGATAATAAGTAATTATGTTACTGGTTTATGTATGTGCTACACTATACTGTACAAGTCTGTACTTTTCATTGTTATTTTAGAGTATATTCCTTCTACTTACTAAAAAAAGTTAACTGTAAAACAGCATTAGGCAGGTCCTTCAGGTGTTCCAACAGGAGGCTTTGTTACCATAGGAGGTAACAACTCCAGATGCGTTTGCCTCTGAAGACCCTCCAGTGGGACAAGATGTGGAGGTGGAAGACAGTGACAGTGATGATTCAGACCATGGGCAGGACTAATGTGTGTGAAGAAATAACTTAAGAAGTAAATTTATTGTAGCCTAAGTGTTTGGTGGGTATAAAGTTTGCAGCAGTGCATGGTAATGTCTGAGGCCTTCATATCTACTCATCTCTCCTTCACTCACTTCTCCAGCACAACTTCCCTTCCTGCAAGCTCCTTTATGCAAAAGAGCCCTAGTCTACAATTTTTATCATTTAGACCATGTTTTTACTGTACCTTTTCTGTTTAGCTGTTTTTAGATACACAAATGCCATTATGTTACAATTGCCTTCATTGTTCAGTACAGTTACCTCGTGTATAGATATTCAAGGTATGCGGTAGGCCTAGACCATGAAGATATGCAGTAGGTTTATGTAAGTATACTTTATGATCTTCACATAGTTAGGAAATTGCTCAAAATGTACCCCTATTGTTAAGTGGCACATAATTTCTCTGAGCTGAGGTGGGTGTAGTAATAACACCTATCTATGGAGTCCAGAGGAAGACTAAATGAGCCAAGTAGTTGAACTCAGCCCAAAACCTATCACATAGGAAGACTTCAACATATATTTGCCACTATTGTGACAAATTGAGAGATGACAAAATTATCCAGATCAGTGTAATCACTGGACACAT